CTCTTGCACTGTCTGCCAAAGCTGATGTAATTAAGCAAGTTTTTTTTAGAATAAGAAAATAGATTTTAAATAAAAACTAATTATTATTTAAAATTAGTAATTAAGCATATAATAGTAAAATCTATTATTAAATTTTTTTAAAATGTTGGATAAATTAGTAATATTTAATGTTAGAAAGTCAAAAAGAAATATATAATTTAAATAAAACAATAACATTTATGATTAAAAATGTTACTAAAGAGTATAATTCAAATTAATTGGTCACATTTATTGTTAAAAATGTTACAAAAATATATGATTAAGAGAAATTAGTAACATTTTGTTACATGTTGGCAAATAAATGTTACTAAATAGTAGTGAGCTACAGTTGCTGCTGTGTTAATATGCTCAGTTGTGTCTGTTACTGCAATCCCAATTGGTTCAATAGAAAAGTGAATTGACCCCTTGTTGAATAAATATGAAAATGACATGAAAGGACATAAGGATGTAACCATGTCTGTGCAAGTTGGCACCTATGTTACTATAAAGGACTTGGACAACATCCAGGTTCTTATTGATCGGCTGGAAGTTGAGATTAAGTCTTTATTGAATGTGACCGGTATTTCCATTAATTTTTGCTTCATGGAGAATTCACCTGTCCCTATTTCTTATGAAATTTTATGTTTTTCAGTTATTAATTATTCGTGAAAACTTGGGTTTATGTTGTAAATAACGGGAAACTACTGACTTATAAACATTCGGTATGTGTAGGAAGCTAAGATAATAGAGTACCGATGTATTTTTTTTATATTTTGTTAGATATACTTTTGTTTAGCATCTAGTTTGTTGGTAGAACTATTATCTGAGTCTTAATATAACTTAACATGATGATTGATTGCTTTTCATCTGACCTACTTGGCACATAAAGTGATGCCAATGAAAAGATATACCAAATGATAACTTCTACATGATTTAAGAATCAGTCTGCTGAGGCATGCTAACAGAACATTCTGTTTTGATCAGTATGATTTATAATAACTGCTACAATGTTTAAACTTAGGACTTTGTGTAGATTAATCTAATTTTCTCATCACTGAGACGACCCTTGTGGTTTATGCTAACAAAATACTCTTGGACACAAAGTTTATATTATTAGTTGAAATTTATTCAAAATTATAAAAGTAAGAGCAACTATATAATTTTGCAAATTTTGATGAATTTTAATAAGTAATTATGAATATATCAATTAAAACAATTGATTTCTTGGATTATTTTTTTGTTACTTGTAACCAAATGGTTTAGTTTACTGTTATTTTTAATTAGTTGGGTTAGCATTCTATTAGAATAGTTTGTTAGTTGAAATAATATTCCTATATATACATAGGGTGTCACATGAATATTAAGTGAATAAATAAGGATCATTTTCTCAAAATTTTGTTTGCAATTCTCTTGTTCTCTCTCTACTCTAACATGGTATCCAGAGCTTGACCGATCCAAGTAAGGCTGATGAACCTCCTCCATCCCCTTCCTCTACCCCAATTATGTTTTCTCATACAATCTTTGAGAAACTTGATGATAAGAACTTCCTCTTATGGCACCAACAAGTAGAACTAGTAATTAAGGCGCATAAACTTCAACAATTTTTTGTTTGTCTGAATATTCCGTTGCAATTTGCTAGTAAATCAAATCGCGATGTAGGTACTGTGAATCATGCATATTCCGCTTGGGAACAACAATATCAAATGCTCCTATTGTGGCTTTAATCACCTCTTTCAAGTTTAATCTTATCATGAGTTCTTGGAAGCGTCCATTTTTTTATCAACTATGGGAGAAGATTCATGATTACTTCTAGAAACAGACTCATGCGAAGTCTCATCAATTATGCACGAAATTGTGATCCACAACCTTAGATAATAAATCAATGTTAGAGTTTCTTCTGTGGATGAAAGCTCTTGTTTACTTGCTAACATCCATTGGAGATTCAGTTTCTCTTCAAGAGCATATTGATGTAATTCTTGAAGGATTACCTAAAGATTACAGCTCGGTAATCTTAGTGATTAAAAGTAAGCTTGATCCACTTTCGATCAAAGAAGTTGAAACACTTCTTCTTACACACAAGATGTGTCTCAAGAAGTTTCTCAAGAAACTCTTTTCTGATTTTGCGACTATTAATCTCATTGAAACATCACCTAGAAGTACAATAGCACAAAATCAATTGAACTCAACCTCTGTACAAGTTCATATTACACAAAATTTTGAAGTTGAAAATCAAGGTTAAAGTCCTTGTGGTTTAGGTTTTGGCTATAGTCGTGGTTGTGGTTGAGGTTGCGGTGGCCACTTTTTCGATACTTAATGCTAAGTTTGCTTTTAAATTTGGTCTCATTGATGCTTATTGTTTCCATATATATGATTAAATGTATCAACCTATGTCTTAGTATTTTCAAGGATTTCAGAATTTCAATGTTCCCCAAGGATATCGAGGATTTACTACTTCTCAATCATTCAATCCAAACTTCAACAACTCACATAATTAAAACAACTTTGCTTTGAACACTTGGAATAGATCTCAAACTTACTTGACACCTCAAGTCCAACAACAACCTAGTGCTATGGTCATGAATACTAATCCAAATTCTTGTATCATGTGGCACCTAGGCTCTAGAGATTCATTCCATGTAACAAGTGATTCATAGAATATATAGCAGCTTGGTCCATTTGAAGGACCTGATCATATTTTTGTTGGAAACAACCAAGGTTTGACTATACACTCTCCGAGTTTATCTAAATTTCCTTCACCTTTTAATCCTCATATCTATCTTCATCTTAATCAATTACTTCACGTTCCTTTTATAAAAAAGAATTCAATAAGTGTTAGTAAATTTGCAAGAGATAATTTTGTCTTTTTTGAGTTTCATGATGACTTTTGTCTTGTCAACTCTCAAGCAACTAATGAGGTCCTGCTTCATGGTCAAGTTGGTTCTTATGGCCTATATCAATTTCCAAGAATGTTGTTGCAATCTTCCTCTAGTGATACAAACTATTTAGTTTCAAATTCTATTCATTTTACCACTGTATCATGTAGTTTTAGTATGTCGTGGCATACTAGGCTAGGACATCCTAATGATTATACACTCAAACTTATACTTAATCAATGTAATATACCTCATTCTAATAAAAGTGGTAATTCATTATGTTTTATGTGTTGTGTGGCTAAATCTCATTGCATATATGCTCCTATCTCACAAATTGTATATCATACTCCTTTAGAACTAGTGTACATTTATTTGTGGGGCACTTCACCTATGCAATCCATTAATGATTTCTCATATTTCATTAGTTTTGTGGGTGTATATTCTCATTTTACATGGATCTATTTACTTAAACAAAAATTTGATGCTCTTATTGCTTTTAAGCATTTGAAATCCATGGTTGAATCGTAGTTTGGTACCAACCTTAAGGCTCTACAAGCAGATTGAGGTGGTGAATTTAGATCCCTATCCAAATACCTTGTTGATCTTGGGGTTATTCATCGTTATGTGTCCTTATATTCATCAGCAAAATGGTGTAGTGGAAAGGAAACATCATCATATTGTTGAATTGGGCTTAGTTTTGTTGAGTCATGCCTCTATTCCTTTTCAATATTGGGATTATGCATTTACTACTATTATATATTTTAATTATGGCTTGCCCACAACTTCACTCAATTTCTCTATTCCATATATTGTTCTTTTTAATTATAAGTTTCTTAAAAATTTTGGGTGTGCATGTTTTCCTTTCCTAAGATCGTATAACTCTTATAAATTGGATTTTTGCTCCTATTAGTGTCTTTTCTTAGGATACTCAACTTTTCACAAGGGTTATAAATGTTTGTCTCCCACGGGTAAGCTTTTCATATCCAAAGATGTTGTCCATAATGAACAGAGATTTTCCTATGTTGATCTATTTTCCTAAAAAACTTGTGAATCTCCTACTTCCACTTTTATCTTACCTCGAGCATTTTTTCATTTGGTTAATCCTCCTACTATCAATGTACCTAGTTTGAATTTCCCTTTATCCTCCTAAAACACAAGCCTAAATAGTTTGTCTAATCACATCTCCTCATCTAAATCATCTCTACCAAATGTATCCTCTACTATACACCACATATAGCTTACGCAAACTAGATCCAAATATGGCATTATCCAATGTTGGATACATCATTCACTCTTATTACCACATGTTGAACCTAAGAGTGTCATGCATGCCTTTAACAGACAAGCTATTGGTTGCAAGTGGGTTTTTCGCATTACGAAAAATCTAAATGGTTCCGTGGACTAGTATAAAGGTTGTCTTGTTGCCAAGGGTTTTCATCAACTACTCAAGTTTGATTTCACTAAGATTCTCTCTGATTATTAAGCCAATCACAATACAAATTATTCTCACTTTGACTTTATCACACAAGTGGACCCTGCAACAGTTAGATGTAAATAATGCATTCTTGGATGATCTTCTATTTGAAACTATTTACATAAAGCAACATCAAGGATTTGAAGTGGAAGATAAATCTTTGATTAGCATTTTTCTTAAATTAATCTACAATCCATTCTATAACAATAATTATTGTAATGGACTTTTTTTTGTGTACACATTTTCTTTCCAATTTTACCATTTTAATCATTCTTCAAATCACTTTAAAAATTATCCACGCTCTTCGATTAACTAGTCACTAATACATAATTTTTATAATTTTATTTTTATTTTATTTTTTTCAAAATAATATGAAGTATCTTTTTTTTCTTTCTAATCTATATTAATTTTATATTTTATCTTTTTTTTTTCTTTTAAAACATAGAGGTATAATGCCTCTTTTCTCTAATATAAAGTAAAAAAAAAAAAAAAAAAAAAAAATTTTTTTTTTTTTTTATTAGAGAAAAGGGGCATTATACCTCTATGTTTTAAAAAAAAAAAAAAATTTTTTTTTTTTTTTAAAACATAGAGGTATAATGCCCCTTTTCTCTAATAAAAAAAAAAAAAAAAAAAAAAAAAAAAAACTATTTTATTCAACTTGGCAAATGCGAATCACAAATCTTTACAAATTAAATTAAAACATTAACTTGCGAATTGCGATTCCTAATGAATCCTTTGACCCAACCCATTATTATCGTCGTCACCCATGATCGATCCTTGTGAGTTGTTTGTTATCGTCAAACAAACTGAAACTAGTCTCTGTTTTGTTCCCTGCGCTGGATTCTCACTCCTCAGTCTGTTTGAATCCACTTCAGTTCACCCATTGCAAAACAAAATGTATCTGAAAGACGGTTACTCCCTCTTGTTAAAGCACCGCAAATCCTCACCCCCCTTGCTGCTCCCCACGCGCCCAACCCCCTCTCCCCACCACCCTTCCCCCCTCCGCGAGTCCCACGTCGCCCACGCGCTGCGCCGGGAGCCCGACGCCACGCGCGCGCTCCACCACTTCCACCACGTCGCCAACGCCCTCAACTTCACCCACACCCCCTTGACCTACGCCATTATCATCCACAAGCTCTCCCGAGCCTCCCAAAACGACGCCGTCCACTACCTCCTCCACCACATGAAGCTCCACCGCATCCCCTGCTCCGAGGACACCTTCATCTGCGTCCTCGCCTCCCACAAGCTCGCCGGCCTGCCCGACCGTGCGCTCAAGACCTTCTACAGAATCAGAGAGTTCGGCTGCCACCCCACGGTTAAGATTTACAACCACCTGCTCGACGCTTTGCTCTGCCACGACGCCCCAACGGGGAAAGGGTTTCGAATGCTCGGAGCTGTCTATGAGAACATGAAGGGGGAGGGGTTGCAGCCCAATGTGTTTACTTACAACGTCCTTCTCAAGGGCCTGTGTTTGAATGGCAAGGTCGATGCTGCCTGCAAGCTGCTTGTGGAAATGTCCAAGAGAGGCTGTGTCCCCGATGAGGTCAGTTACACCACGGTGGTGAACGCTGTTTGTAGGTTTGGCTCCGTGGAGGAGGCTAAGGAGGTGGTGGGGAGATTCCGGGTGGAGAATGTGGTGTCGGTTTACAATGCTTTGATTTGTGGGTTGTGTAGGGAGGGGAGGGTTGGGGAGGTGTTTGCTTTGATGGGGGAGATGGTGGGGAAGGGGGTTGATCCTAATGTTGTTAGTTACTCTAGTGTCATTAACTCGCTTGCTGATGTTGGGGAGGTTGAGTTGGGGCTTGCGGTTTTTGGCTTAATGGTTAGGAGAGGGTGTAGGCCGAATGTTCACACGTTTAGTTCCTTGATGAAAGGGTGTTTCTTGGGAGGGAGGGTCAGGGAGGGGGTTGGGTTGTGGAGGGTTATGGTTAGGGAAGGGGTTAGGCCCAATGTTGTGGCGTGTAACACGCTCTTGTATGGGCTGTGCTGTAGCGGGAATGTGGCTGAGGCTCTGGAATTTTGTGATTCCATGGAGAGGGATGGTTTTTGCCGGCCGAATGTGACCTCGTATAGCACTCTCGTTCATGGGTTTGCGAGGTCTGGGGACTTGCAGGGTGCTTCTGGGGTGTGGAACAGGATGGTGGATTGTGGGGTTCGGCCGAATGTCGTGGCGTACACCTCCATGGTGGATGTGCTCTGTCGGAATTCTATGTTCGATCGGGCTTGTAGGCTTATTGAGAGTATGGCTGCTGATGGTTGTCCCCCTACTGTTGTTACGTTTAACACTTTTGTGAAGGGCTTGTGTCACGGTGGGAGAGTGCGGTGGGCCAAGCGCGTGGTTGATCAGATGCAGAAGTCTGGGTGTTTGCCGGATATCAGAACGTATAATGAGCTGCTGGATGGCTTGTTTAGTGTGGATGAGGTTAGAGAAGCTTGCGAGCTTATGAGGGAGTTGGAAGAGAGGAAGGTGGAGATGAATTCTGTCACTTACAACACTGTTATGTATGGGTTTTCTAGCCATGGAATGCAGGAATGGGTTTTGCAGGTTTTGGGGAGAATGTTTGTGAATGGAGTAAAGCCAGATGACATTACGGTTAATATAGTTATTTATGCGTACTCCAAGTTGGGTAAGGTTAGAACTGCCATCCAGCTTTTGGATAAAATTACGGAAAGAAAGGAATTCTGTCCAGACATTATAGCACATACTAGCCTTTTGTGGGGTATCTGTAATTGGTTAGACATTGAAGAGGCAGTTGTGTATCTGAATAAAATGTTAAATAATGGAATCTTTCCCAATGTTGCCACTTGGAATGTGTTAGTACGAGGCTTATTTAACAAATTGGGTCATATGGGACCAATCCGCATCTTGGATGATATCTTGGGAAATGGATAACAGTATGGGATTTTTCAGCTTATTCTGAGGTACACTAATGGCCTCCAAATATAGCTATTTTCAACAATATGCAACAGATGACCATGTTGCGATACAGTGAACACCAAGTTTGGCGCAGGAGCAAGTGGGTGGAGTGGAATGAATGTGGTAGGAAATAACACACGGTGAGAAATCATTTGTTAGGATCACAAACCGGTTCTGACTTTTCAGGGAGAGAGACAAGAACAGAGAAAGGAAAGGAAAAAGAATGTTTTGGCAGCATTTATTAAATTATTGATAAAGAGCCTAAGGAGAAGATTCTCCTTCCAAGGGTATCCCCTTTCTACAGCAGAGTTGGTGTGCTACTGGTATGCCTGTAGGACATTTACCCATTTGTGTACCATGTGAACTGCAAAATAAAAACAAAAAACAAAAAACATCATTCTTACATAATTCAAAAGAGGTCAAAGTCAAACTATGGAGTGATTCATCCTTTCTATTAAATGAACACTATATAGAAGAAAAAAAAAGGTTAGAAAAACACCCTTTAATTTTATTATTAGAAAAATTTTGTGAAATTTATTAAATAAAGAGTGAATTTAAATTATTCAATGAAACTTAACACTTCAATAAACCAAATAAAATTTATTTTCAAAAAGTTTAAATTGTAACATTTAATACAAAATTCTTATATTACACAACTAGGTGTGTGGTTGTGACACTAGTCTATTTTGCATCAGGGTAACAGTACATATCAATTTGCATCGATATGACCCTTATATTAAAAAAATTAGAGGGGGACGGATTCACTCACTTAAAAAATGCGTTGAAAATGGTAACACAATAATTGCTAATTATTCTGGGAGTGTAATAATTTCTCATCACCTCACATTATATAATGTGATGCACATACCCGAGTTTCGATTTAATTTGATATCTGTTCAATGTCTTTCTAATTCTTTACAATGTCAACTCATTTTTCTACCTGATCACTGTATCATACAGTAGCTCTCTTCACTTGGGATGATTGGAGTAACTGAAGTTTTCAATAGATAATACATTCTCAATCAATTCAACCTTACAGATCTTTTTTAGATTCTATATCTGCTATTAATACTGCTTCTGTACGTTTTGCCAATGATAAAAACTTTGATATATGGCACTATAAGCTAGGACATCCATCTTTTACTGTTCTTAATCAACTTTGTAATCAATTTCCATATATCAAATTTATAAAAGTCTTGTATGTGATTCTTGTCATATGGCTAAGCAAACTAGACTCCCTTTCCTCACTAGGATTAGTAAATCCCAGAGACCTTTTGATATGGTTCACGTAGATATTTGGGGTCCCCCCAATGTTACTTCTTTTCAAGGTTACCAATATTTTTTGACCATTGTTGATAATCACAGTCAAATTTTGATGGCAGGGAACGACGAGCTTAATAACCAAAAAAGTGGCAAATGGCATTGAATTTCTTTTCCTAGTATGTTCCTTCTTTCTGTCAAAGGAAACATGAAGATATTTTCAAGATCAGACATCAGTGGATAATGTACCTTAAAGTCACTAGAAGCGATTAAAGCCAGCTCAAGTATGCTTTTCAGATCAACAACAAAAAGAAATCAATCTTGATTCTAATTATAAAGTGTGATTCAAGATTTTCATTCATAACTGGCACATCCTTGAAATTCTCTAGCAATTCATATGAACAGCAAAGGATATCGTGATTCTAACCTGTGATAGCTGTGCTGAGTCATCTGACTCAGGGTAAAGGAGCAGCTGAAGCATTAAATATCATGATCATGGTCAGATTTTCTTTGTCACACACTAAATTGACACAAGGCCAGCCAGTGTTCAACGACATGATAAATTAGTTTACCTGTCTCCTAATAAATGATGGCATAAATTCAAATAGAGCAGATGCCCATGGTGAAAGCTGAGATGATATATTGTCAACAGCAACACCTTGTCTGAGTAAACCGTGAATTTCCTGAGGTACAGAAAGGTATTGGAAGGGACATATTAAGGTTGTATCCTCTATTATAGGAGAGTAAAACTATAATGCTAATATCTAACATGAATGACCAAAAAGAAACCTGTTCTTTTCTGAAGCTTAAACAGCCCACAATGGCTTGATTGAAGACATACAGATGCAAGTATACTTGATTGACAAATTTCATTATGCTCTGTGCTCGAGTAAGGATTGACTATTGACGAATGGGGGTTTTACCTTTAAGAGTGTATATACTTCAGGAATACTCTCTATCAGCCCTTCTGGAAGGAGGATTACTCCATGGTATTTGTCTGATAAAATAGAGGAATGTTATATGAGATCTATGTTGAGCTTCACTACATTCTGATGCAAAGAATGATATATAAATTATAAACTTTAATCATCACAAGACAAATACCTTACGAATTGTATCAACACCAACATTAGTTTCCAACAAACTGATTTTTAAGATCTCCATTCAGTGTAACAGGAATACCAACCACCTGCAGAATCCAACTATCATAATCAATAAATTGTAAACGGGAATCAAACTTGATAAATTTTAAACAAACTAATTATGAATACATAAAAGTAACCCCAAATATAAGGCCTTAAAAACAGCCCCTCTTTGGCATACGAGGTCAAAAATTACAAAATCCAGATCAGCTAGTAAAAACACCTTTGTGGGGCATTCTGCTACAGCAAGTGTTTCTGCAAGCTGTGCAGCATCCGTGTTTGATGTACGCTTGCTCCAAACAATAGAAGCAACACTAGAGACCAAAAAGCTGGCTCAGACAGCAAAACGACACCAGAAAGACACAGTAGAACACACATATTAATAAACTTTGTAATCATCTAAGCACAATTAAATAATTAAAACCTGTAAAGGGTTAAGTTAGTTATCTGTTGGGAGTAATTATATTCTGTTATAAAGTCTTAGTTAGTTACAAATTTTGTTGCATATAAATATACAACTATCCATCAGTATTACTGTGAGTAATGATCAATTAGTGTTATTGAATCTCTTTATTATCGTCTGTTCTTCAATTCTTTCTACCACACCTTCTCAGTCTGCTGCAATGAATCCAATGTCGATCAAACTGGACGATGCCAATTTCTCAACCTGGAAGAAGGAAGCCTTAGAAGCAATCAAGGCAGGCAAAGTTGAAAAGTTCATCGCAAAAACGAATGATGGAGGAAGGCCACACAAGTTTAAAACACCTGAAGATGAAGTTCTTGGAAATATCAGTGAAGAATACAAAAATTGGGAGCAGAAGGATCAGGTTGTTTATACGTGGCTTCTTGTATCCATATCTCCAAAACTTCGTGCCGGAATGGTAGGATGCGAACATGCTTTTCAAATTTGGATGAAAATAGAGGCTTTCTTAGAACAAGTAAGTCACTTGTTAGTTGAAGAATTTCTAGAAAATTGGTTTTTTAAATGAATACTTTCTTTCAATCAAAAAGATTTATTGTTGTTTCCTCCTTAAAGTTTGTATTCCATACGATGTTTTCATATTTTTCTTATTGGCAGAAACAATATGAAGAGCTAAGTAAAAAAGTGAAAACTCTGAAAGGTGAAAACTCCATTCTCGCACAGAGGCTTGAGAATCTTGCTGAGGAGTGTCTGGAGGTCAGCTATGAAAACGATGCCATAGAGGTATTATATTTAATGTTCATTAATTCAAGTACTTTGTTTTAATTAATTAATTGTATTCTATTTTACCTACTTTTGTTTTGATGATAGTTTAAACAATTTCAATTATAGTAATTTATTAAGAGGATGTATGATGAATAAACAATTGAAGGTGACAATTCTTAGATAACAATTATTTATTCACTAGTCTTTAGTGATGATTTACAAGGAAGTTGTAGAAATTATTATTATTATTATTATTATTATTATTATTATTGTTGTTGTTGTTGTTGTTATTGTTGTTATTGTTGTTGTTGTTATTATTATTATTATTGTTATTGTTGTTGTTGTTATTTGTTTTCGAGATTATGGTAATTTGAGTGTGTGATTATAGAAAGAGCTGGTTGAGAAGTATGGAGCAGAATCAGTAGCAGATCTATTGCCAGAGAGGCCTGCCTGACTCTGTTTCTAGCTAAGGAAGGAAACATCTTACAACTCATCACAATATATTGTTTCATTTTTTTAGGATATAAGAATGAAAATTTTAGTGAATGGTGGAATAAGGGTTATCCACTTTTCTTGAATATACCACATCTAAGTGTGTGTTTGGATGCCAAATGTGGAACCAAGAACTATGTGCTTCAATCTAGACGTGAAAAATCACATCCAACTGCTTCTAGATATGTTTTCAATTATGCTGTAAATTACTTGTTAAATCGGCTCATTGTTATGATTTTATTAATATTTCTCTAACCTTTTAGAAATAAATTATTAATTTATTTAAAAATACCAGTTCCGTAAATACTTTAGATAACATTTGTGTGTCTCAACTTTATTTTTTTTTATTATTTATATTTTTATAATTATTATTTTTCATTATAGTTTTTTAGTGGGTTAGCCAGTCAATCTATTTTGTTTTTCTTTTGACCAACCAATATGCTATCCAGAGTGTATGTGAACATAAGTTAGAAACATTTTTAAGAGTTTTTCTATCATAAATAAATAGTATGTTTTTTTAGTAAAGAAACTATAAAAAAAAACACTCTTAAGTTTATATTAAACAGCCTCTAAGTAAAAGGATTTATTAGCCAAATAAATGGAAATAAGATAAATGAATTGATATGTAGAGAAGATAAATCTGTGACAGCAAACTTGCACAGTAGAACCAAAAGGTCAAAAACAGCACCTGGATTCTCTCTGTGAAGGTAAGGACCGATACGATCAAGATCAGCCATTGTTGGCAATGAAGAAAAAAAAATACGGAAGCTGAGCAAACTAAGACCATATTATCAGAGAAAGCTAGTAAAACTGAAATACATAATATTATTGAATGATAATTGTGTATGAATTACAAGATATAGTCTTTTTATTTTTTTGGTAATCATTTTGTTGGAATGAAATATTTATTGGCTTAGTTGATAATTAATCTCTATTAGAAAATCTTATTAATCATTTTTAACGGAGTTTCTCTTTCTAATCACATTTTTTTTCATATTCTTAGAATAGTGGATTAAGCCTAACTCAGCCTTACAAAATCGGCTTGTAAGGTGAGGGTTGCTTTCCACATATATACTATTCAATTGCCTAATCTCTAGTCGATGTGGGACTTGGGTTTTTCCCAATACACCCCCTCACGTCAAGCACTATTGGGCTTGGTACGTGGATAAATGGTGGGTGGCCCTTTTTAATGATCTAGGATAGGTGGGACTTGGGTTTTTCCCAATACACTCCCTCATGTCTATGAGGCATGCATCAATGGTGGGTGGCCCATTTTTAAAGTGGATTTAAATGGCTCTGATACCATCTTAGAATAGTAGATTGTGTATTGGGAAAAACCCAAGTCCCACCTATCCTAGATCATTAAAAAGGGCCACCCACCATTGATGCATGCCTCATAGACATGAGGGAGTGTATTGGGAAAAACCCAAGTCCCACATCGACTAGAAATTAAGCAATTGAATAGTATATAAGTGGAAAAGGACCTTCACCTTACAAGTCGGTTTTGTAGGGTTGAGTTAAGCTTAATCCACTATTCTAAGACATATAAATAGACAGTCTTTAATAGCAATGTAAAGGCCAAAAACAAACTAACAGTTATTTGTTGCTCCAATGACATTTCAGAAAAATTAGACCTGCAAAAGTCTACAATTTTTCATTGCTATGGTTAAAAGTATAAGCATATCCTATGAGATTAATTATCAAAGAAGGCAACTTAGGTCTCGTATGTCCTTTTGATTCTATGAACACAGAGTAGTATGACAAGAGAATCGGGATACAATTGTCTTGTATAATTTGAGTTAAAAAAAGATTACATGCAGTTCAAGCAATGTGTCACATATCTACGCTACAATATGACCAAAAAATAAAATGTCATGAAGCATACCCACAATCTTCTTGATCAAAGGAGAGTGCTGATTTAAAGAACCAATTTTCGTGAAATTCTTCAACTAACAAGTGACATGTTCTAAAAAAAGCCCCTGTTCTGTTCCAAATTTGAAACGCATGTTGGCATCCCACCATTCGGGTATGAAGTTTTGAAGAGATGGATGCAAGAATCCACCTGTAAACAACCTGATCCCAAATTTCATATTCTTCACTTTCATCATCAGATGTTTTAAACCCTCTTCCATCATTCGTTTCTATGATGAACTTTTTGTTAGAAGTAGAACTCCCACATTTGTGGGCACTTCAAATTTGGGCCCACTAAAGCTATAAATAAAGTCTAGTAATCCCCTATCTTGTATTCCAAATCTTCATCTTCTGTCTTTATTTACTTTGAGAGCTTTCTCTTGATAGTAGTATTCTCCTATTTTAAAGAGTGAACTTTAGAGGGAGAAGTGGTATAATTTCCTCTTATAGAAATTTTTTTCTATTGTGCCTATTGTCTATTTTTGCTCTTATTTTGTCATCTCTTATTTTAGTTGTGTTATTATATATTTACTCTAGTACCTATTAGTGGTATCAAAGCTAACAGGAATTTAAGCGTGTCAATTAGTGACCCATCTCTCTTTCTTGGAAACTTACCTGGTGAGTACTAGTTTATAGTCTATCGTCATTGTTCCAATAGACAGTACTATTCATAATGGAAGTTGCATAAATCAGTTTAATTGAGAGAAAAAATCATAGAGAAATCATGGAAGCAAAACATGAGATAGAGAAATGTAAAGGGAGTAATTTATCCCTATGGAAGTAAAAAATAAGAGCAATTTTGAGGGAAGACAATTGTCTTGATGCAATCAAAGGTAGACCCATAGATATTTGATGAAAGGTGGAGAGAAATGGATGACAATATAATTGTCAATTTGCATTTAATAATGGTTGATTCAGTTTTATCTAGTGTTGTAGAGAAGGAGATTTGGGACACTTTAATCAAGTTGTACAAGGTCAAGTCACTTTATACCAAAATATTCTTAAAGAGGAAACTCTACACTCTTCGAATGAGTGAGTCCACGATAGTAGTAGACCGCATCAACAATTTGAATACGTTATTCACTCACAGCGTCAAATTTCAACATAGCAAAAAATGAATGTGTGGAGCTTCTACTTCAGAGTTTACTAGATTCATATGATCAACTCATCATCAACATAACAAATAACAATGTCATTGATCGTTTATCCTTTGATGATGTTGTTAGAGTTATTCTTGGAGAAGAATCCAGGAAAAAGAATAAGGAAGTTAGGTCTGAAAATTCTAAACAAGTAGAAGCGTTAACAATGGTGCGAAGGAAATCAATGGAGTGTTGTCCTAGTGGGAGTCAAAATCATGGTAGATTGAAATCTCGAAGAAGGAAGAATTTCAAATGCTACAATTATGACATGAGAAGGCATGTGAAGAAAGATTGTTGGCACAAAAAGAATGGAGGGAAGAGCTCTAAAGCATCAATCTCTCAAGGTTGTGTAGCAAGTACCTTAGATGATGTAGAAGCCTTATATAGTGAAGCAATAGTGAGTTCTAAAGATGGAAGACAACTCCATGATTTTGGATAATGGGTTCAAGTGCAAGCACATGACTCCACATTAAACTAGTTTTGCACTTATGAAGCTATCTTAGGAGGATTAGTGTTTGTAAGAAATGATCATGTCCTAGAAATTGTTGTAGCCAGTACTATCAAATTGAAAATGTATGATGGTATTGTTTGAACAATTCAAGGGGTATGCCATGTGAAGATCTTGAAGAAAAAGCTATTGTCCATTGGATAATTGGATAACCTCAAGTGTAAGATCCACATTGAAAATGGAATCTTGAAGGTAGTTAAAGGAAATATGGTAGTGATGAAAACAAAGAAGATCACAACCAAACTATACATGCTTTTGGGAGATATGTTGCAAGAAGCAGATGCATAAGTTGCAACAAGTCAAGAGAAAGCAACGACGACGTGGCATCTTAGACTTGGTCATATGTTAGAACGAGGCTTAAAAATTCTTGCAAAACGAAATCTTTTATCAAGGCTCAAAATGATAAATTTACCATTTTGTGAGCATTGTGTGACAAGTAAGCAACATAGATTGAAGTTTGCCAAAGTAACTATAAGAAGCAAACATATACTTGACTTGATCCATTCTAATGTATGAGAATCACTAAAAGTATCTTTAGGAGGAACTAAATACTTTGTATCATTCATTAATGATTACTCTAAGAGATTGTGGGTGTACCCAGTCAAGAAAAAGTCAAATGTGTTTCCAGTATTCAAAGGATTTAAAGCACAAGTGGAACTTGAAATTGGGAAGAAAATTAAGTGCTTGGGGAAAAAGCAATGGAAGAGAGTATGTAGATGGTGACTTTCTAGCATTTTGCAAGCAATAGGGTATTTTAAGGCAATTCACAATGTCACATACGCCTCGACAAAATTGTGTAGTAGAGCAAATGAATAGAATCCTCCTAGATAGAACACGAGCTATGTTGAGAACAACAAGAGTTTCCAAATCATTCTAGGCAGAATCAGTTAAAACCACATGTTATGTAATAAATCGATCACCGTGAACAACAATTGGTTTGAAAACACCATTGGAGATGTGGAAAGGAAAATCAATCGATTATTCTTCCTTATGTGTGTTTGAATGTCCTATGTCCGTGATGTACAACACCTAAGAAAGAACAAAGTTAGATCCAAAATTTAGAAAGTGCATATTCTTGGGTTATGCTGACAATGTTAAGGGGTATCGCTTGTGGGATCCCATTGCTTATAAGGTTTTTGTTAGAAGGGATGTAGTCCTTGTAGAGAATGAACTGCAAATGGAGTATAAAAATGACAACACTACCAAAGAAACTACTATAGTGGCAATAGAGAATAAGTTTAAAGAAGATGACACTTTTAAAGTAGAACAAGAACACGAAGAACAAGAACTAAATGAAACCAACGATAGATAAGCTAAATAGACAAGACATGAGATAAAGAGACCATCTTGACACTCATATTATGTCATGGCAAGCCATGATGCAACTTCAAACTAAATAAGGAGAACCATTAATCTTTCAAGAGGCTTTAAGTAGTTTAGATGCTTCTGTATGGATGACAACAATGTAAGAAGAAATCAAGGATTTACATAGAAACAAGACATGAGAACTCGTTGAGTTTCCAAAAGGTCAAAAAACCATTGGGTGTAAATGGGTCTACAAGATCAAATGAGACGATAATGATCAAGTGGAGCATTATTGTGGAAGATTGGTGGTTAAAGGGTATGCTAAAAAAAAGGGCATTAATTTCAACAAGATATTCTTGTCAGTTGCCTGATTGAGCACAATCGAATATTTTCTGGCTATGTGTGTTGCATTTGATTTACATCTTGAATAACTTGATGTAAATATTACTTTCCTTCATGGAGAACTTAAAGAAGAAATATATATGCAATCTAATAGATTTCTTTGTAAATATTGGTTTCCTTCATGAATGGATATTCAATCTATCCATAAAAGTAATTTAAAATTAAATAATTTTTTTAAAATATTTTATTTATCTCTTTTTTTTTATAAGTCATTACATTTTTATATAATCTTTTAAAATTCACAAGATTTTTTTTATGTCAAAATAGTCTTTTAAAATTTGAATATAATAGATATCACATATTCTATTCCAATGGATCTTTAAAAAGTGGTGGATGGATCACTAATCATTCATAAAATTAAATAGATGGATTGAATTCGATTCATTATTTATTTTTACTGTATGGATGAATTGGATGAATTTATTTGTGAATGATGGATAAATAGATTTCTTTATCACTCCTATATAAGAGTAAAGTAGTAAATTTGGTCGCAACTCCATGTCCAAGTCAAGATAGAATCCTAACTCTTAGTTAAAGAACACAAGTGTCAAATTATTTAAGTTAACAACCTTTAATGGATTAATTTCTATGTAATATACTATTAATTAATTAATTAAAAATTATATAAGGTATTATTTATAGTGTTTAATGAGCATGCACTAATAATATTTTTTTTTATTGTTATCATTGATTTCAATTTTTAACTTTTTTATTTTAAGAGTTTAATAGTCATGCACAGTGAATATAAAAAAACTTTACAAAATTAACTGATAAAAAGTTACAATTTGTATGACTTTTAGGATATATTATAAAAGTTATCAAACTTATCATTTATAGTGAATAATAATTGGATGATAATATAAAATTGTTTTACATTGATATCAAAACATTTATTTTTATGAATGGGTGTAAATTTTAAACAATTTTTTATTAAAGTATATTATATATAAATTTCTTATTGGCAAAAATTGTTTACTTACATTGTTGAAGACCAAATGATTTTCTCTAAATAATAGAATAACAAATTTATTTAAAATGGGAAGGTGGATAGCATTATGAAATAGTGGGTTTTATGATCATAGGATTCCCTGCAACATCTGGAGGATAGAAGAATAACATATTATTAAAAGGACGATTGCATATATTATACATTAATCATATTCCAGCTGTTTCTTCAACGTGTGGGATCCTTACTTTTTGTTACAACTTGTGCATACAAACAAAGAACCACAAAAGTATTATTATTATTATTATTATTATTATTATTTTAAATTTCTCAACTACGACATAATACGAGATATTTGGAGGACTGAATTCTTAAATGAACACAACCAATTGATATTTGAATAATTTGATACTAGCTGTTTAATTTGTTTTACTTATAATTGACAAATTATGATGGAATGTTATAAAGAAGCACAAAGCTAAAAAAAAAACTAATATTTTAAGGGGTTGTTTGCTTTCAGAATTTTTTATTTATTAATTATAACTTATATGAACTTACATAAGGAATCGAGTTCTCGAATCCCCAACCTTTTTAATTTTAAAATTTATGGTATTTTAATATTATGAATTTTTTATTTAGAATGTCTGGTTATAAATATAATGATAGTTAAGTGTTATTTTTGTTTTAACTTTTGGACAAACTTTTATTTATTTTATAATTTTAATTGTGAAAATTACAATATTTTCTTTTTTAAACAAAATATTCAAGTATAACATTTTTTAATAATTTTTCTTTTATATTTTTTATTGCTATTTTAAAAGTTAATATTTATTTGATAACTTGAGTACTATATAGGAGATTGATAACTTGAGTTTTTAGTCACACCATTAAATGTTTATTTTTTCTTCTTAAGACTATTCTTCATATATTTTCATTTTTTGTTACACTTAGTGCACCGGTAAATTTGTGTTGTTGTCATAAAATATAAAGGAAACATTCAATTTGGTTATGAACCTTGGAAGGCGCTATCAAATTAGTTTATAAAACTAAAAAAAATATTAAATGTGTTCTTGAAAGTGTAAATTCACAATTATATTAATTTAAAATTAAAAACAATGTATGACTAAGTGATAATACTGATATATATATATATATATATATATTGTTTTTAAATATTGTTTTTGGCCACAAACTTAGTCAAGAGATAATTTCAATTTTAGTTTAATTGTTTAAATATTATGTTTTTCTTTGTTGAAATATCACATGGAGAAGATAACTTAGAAAAATATAAAGTCTCAACCAGA